GTGGGGGGCAGGGTGAGAGGCTTCACCAGAGACACAGTGGGAGCAGAACAGGCAGATCTGACGAAGTCCACTGCTGAGAGAAGCAGTGGGGTGAAACAGGAGAGGCCTGCTGTGCCATGTGGGTCAGCTCCCTGGCCAGGGATGGAATCCATGCCACAATGACTGGTATGGAGATAGCACAGAGAACTTAACCCCTGTGCCACTAGGGAGGCCCTAATTTAAATTTCTCAGAAAACCCCTCTCCATAGTCATATTATCTTGTTCTGAACCCCAAAAAGAAATTCAAGGAGTTTTCCTTTGTTGTACAAAGTTCCAAACGTTTATACTTATGGTGAAAATAATAATAAAGTTCTGGTACATATTGTTCATAAGGAGATACCAAAGTCAAATGTACTATGCTGCAAGTAATAGTCTTTTAAAAGTACCAAAACAAAGAAACTAAAAACCTGCTTCAAAACAAAAACAGATCATTACTCAAGCAGTAGAAGACATGTCCCTTCCAGATCCACCTTGGAGTTGAGCTACTTAGAATGTTCTTTTCAACTACCAGGTACCAAATCTGCTTCAGACTTCTCTACAGGTGGGAGGAGCTGCTGGACTTGATCCTGGCACCAGCCCTGGCACAGCAGTAGTGCCAGGTCTGCCTATAGCTCTCGCTCAGATGCCCTTTCTCATGTCTCAAAGCTTCATGCTGCAGCCTGCCATGCACTCGGGTTCCCCAAGGACTGACAGAAGGAACAGTACTTTATGGGATTCCAGCTCAAGGTAGGTGCCTTTCGTTCTGTTTAAGGGACTCTGCCTTTCCATCTGACAACTTCCTATCCGGAGCTGAGACGGCCCTCCTTAGACTAAAGGCCTGAAATCACTGCCATGTGCTAAAAAAAATGAAGAGATACTCAGCTTGCTGGCGCTGCCTGAGCCTTCTAGGTCTGAGAGCAAGTGGGGCTGGTCTCTTTGTGACATCTGCAATTCTGGCCTGTTGCTTTTCCAAGTCCTGATTCATGGGTGTCCTCATAGAGGCTCTTGTCACTAGATTAAATGCTTCTTGGAAAATGCCACATTTCGGGAACCTCCTTAGTATCCCTACTCCAAATCCTTCAGAAAATGGGCGTGTTGTGAGATGAGAAACAACATAAATCAGGGGGCCCAGGAGAGGTGGTGGACTGTCTGAAAAATTAAACATGTTGATTTCTTTTTCTCCCAACTCAGATTTAAGTTATCATGTAACTTCTGTTGTAGCATTTTTAAAGCAATTTTCTTTTTTTAAAGATTTATTTGTGCATATGGAACTGGGGTACAGGCCAGAGATGCAGGGGCAGTGAGAAGATCCACCAGAGACAGAGTGGGGAGCAGAACAGGCAGACTGACAGAGTACAGTGCTGAGAGGAGCAGCGGGTGTGTCAGGAGAGGCCTGCCACGCCATGTTGATCACCTCTGGGGCCGGGGATCGAACTTGTAATGAGGCAGCTGCAGCTTGCCTGCAGTGCTGTGCTTTAACCCATTATGCCACCAGGGAGGGCCTGTTCTAGTATTTTTACTTTTCCTAAGGAAGGGGCCGAGTCAGATCATTTCTTTGAACCTCTGATCTTTTCAGGTCATCCTAAATCACATACACTTATGATTCTATTTGCACTAAGATTTCACTTTCTCCCCCTTTATTCACCTCACATTTTGGTATTACTGCTGCAGCATGTATTCCAATCCAGTAGTTTGGCTGCGGAGTCTTGGTTGCCTGAGATGTACGTTGCAGTAATAGGGATGAAAAGTGAACTGAGGGACACAGGTTGGCCACAGGCTTGGAGGATAGGAAGAGTGTGGGCTTTAGATGGGCTCAGAACCAACAGTCTAATTCTGTTCCTGTCACTTATCAGTCACATGAATTATTCTGAGCTTTCTAGAGCTGGTATCTAGGGCTGACAAGCCCTGTTGGTGGGTTCTAAGTTTTTGGTGTCCCCTTATTCAGGGATGAGTGGACCCCTTAGCCCTCAGTCTCCCCAATTTGAGTCCCGAGAAGGCCTGGGGCTCCTGTTCTTCTTGACCCGACATCTAGGTCCTCATAATAATACAGACAGATGGAAATAAGAGTGGCCTTATCTGGCCATGCCTGTGCATGGCTCACATGGCAGGCAGGCAGGCTAAGGTCCTGTGATCATGATCCCACTCAGATTCTAACTATCATTCTCCATCTTAGGAAGGTTCCTCCCTCTGCTGTTAGGGGACACCCTTAGACAAAAACTCTGACTTCCCTATTACTCCTGAGTGGGAACTGAAGGGCCCCTCAGACACCTCAGCCTCCTAGGGTTGACAGTAAGGAAGATTCAGTGTGGCCACCGCTGTTTTGGGCCTACATTATTCACAGTCCTCAACCTGACTCATGGTACAACCTAGAAGTATTTTGTCTTGATGTGAAGCTGTATACAAAGAGCCCCAAGTCCCAAGAAGTGAAGTTAGCCTCTTCTGGCCACAATAACCCATGGTCTCCCAAGGCTAACAGTAGTGGAAGGAAAGTGTTCTGCCTCTGTCTTGAGGTGGGTGGTCCCATTGGTCTTCAGGGTCTTTACCTTAGCTCTGGAAAGCCCCCCTCTTCTGACCTGTGGCTGCTCTCTTCAATGAGGTCTGTCACCTCCATGAGATGCTCTGGGAGGAAGTATGACTTGCCATGTCACCATGCTGAGGTGGCATGGTCTCAGGTTTGAAAACAGGGTGGGCATTGATGTATATCCCCCTTCTTTCCTGGAGGGATCATCTCAAGGCCATTCATCATCATCATGTTGATTCCTGTTGGGAATTTGGTATTTTCTGCTGAGCGGGGCACCTCATATTAGTCCAAGGACTTTTATGTTTCTGGGACCCTCAGAAAATGGGTACCCTTCACCTTAAGTAGCTGCATGTGACCTCCCAGCGCTGACTATAGGTGCAGAACTTTCTAGGGACATCTCTATTACTGTGTACTGCTTCAATCCTCATACAGGATTTTTACCATGGCACTGTCATGGCAGCCCACCTGGGTCTACTCTCTGCTCATCTGAGGCCACAGCCTTCAGAGGTCTCAGCCAGGACTTGAAGTGTGGGTTAGCCATGAGCAGCCAGGGATATCATGGCCCTCCTGGGCTGACAACTTGGATGTGACCTTATGGGTTCCTATTGTTCTGGCAGGGTCCCTCCATTATCCTCACTCATCTTTATCACCTCCATTTCTATGAGAAATGGTTACTTCTGCTGCTGCTGACTTGAGAGCTTTGCTCTTAGACCAGGGCCTTTATGCTCTGGAGAAGCATAAAGAGTAAGTGAAGGAATGCTCAAACTCAGAGCTATCTGAGACTCTTGTGTTAGACACCTGACCAGAGGGGACAGGTGTTCCTGTGATTCAGCCCTCCCTCCCTACCCCCACCCATATCTTGAGTGTCAGTCTCCCCAATCTTCCTACAAGGGACTTTCTTTGGGGTGTTGCCTTTTAGACTTAAGGTTTCCTGGAAAATGCTGCATCTATGCAAACTCTTGAACAACTTCCTTTCTGCAAACCTTACAGAGAATTGATTCCTTGTGCCAGGAGTAATGTGAGACTGGGAAGCTGTAATACAAGGCCAGAGTCCCAGAACAAGAGTCCCAGGCCAGATGGTGGCTTGTCAGAGAAAAAAAAATATATTCACCTAGCCCTTCTCTTCTGATAGACAGGGAAGAGATTGTTCAGGGTGATTCTGAGAGCCCCTGATCTTTTTAAGTGATCTAACATTGCAAATGTAGATGACAAGACTATCATCAAATACCTCTTTGTTTATTATATCTCTCAATTATGTTGGCATTCTTATTGCTCTGGCTATGTATCCAATCTCATAGTTTGGGCATAAGGTGGTTGTTGTTGTTGTTGTTGTTTTAATCACCTAGGACAGCTTTTAAGTACTGAGAAGAAAGAAGAAATAAGAGCAGGACCTGCCTGAGATGGGAGTGGAATGGAACCGGCTCCATCATCATTTAGACTAGGAGTCTCGATCCAACCTGGTCATCCACTAGCCATAAGGGTTGGGGCACTTAGCCAAACCCTAGGAATCTCTGGCTATTCCTGTGAAGTTGGTTAGGCCCTGTCTTGATGGACTGGGGAGAGACATAACGTAGAGAACACTTCTGACACTGTGCCTGTCTTGCACGGAGACACAGGGAATGGCAGTTACTACTTTGATTACCTTGACTTTGGACATTACCATCTACCCAGCCAGGATTTTTATTTTTACATCTAGGAGATGTCAGAGAATATGCAGCCAGAAAAACCTCCCATCCAGTCAAACTTCTGCTTAGCAGTGAAAACATACACAGAGTAAATTCTGTATTACTGCTTCTTTACCCTGATTGTTTCTCTAGGAGGTCCAGAGTATCTCATCCTCTCCCATAATGACTGTGTCTCCTAGGATGTATTCTTGCCATGCCAGGGGCTTGTACAACATAAGCAAATCCAGGTATGTATCTTTTAATTTTTTTTACTCTTTTATTGAAGAAACATTGCATTATAACATTATATGTTTCAGGTATGCACCATTATAAATCAATAATTATGTGTATATGCCACCCACACCAATCATACACATACTAGACCTCAGGTGTACATACCACTAAAGATTGAACTGTACCCTTCACCACACTAAAGGAAGACGAGGCTGAGTAAGGCAAACCAACAATTAGTCAACTTTTACTTTTTTTCTACCTGCTGACCCCAACTATTTTAGTGTGGAGGATTACCTCTTCCAATGCCAGGCCATCTTATTCTAGGTCATGACAGGGACTTAAGGGTTTGCAATTTGTATTTCAGAAACCAAAACTCCTACTCAGAGGTGGGTGATCAGGATCATTAACAAGCTTACAGTCTGAATCTAAAGAAACCTTCTATGATAAAGAACAACTTGACAAAATGCAAAACAAAACAGATGTCAACAGTTTTTCTCATGTATCAGGAGCACCACCTGTAAATACAATTTCACAAGCACAAAGGAAGTCTCCGCCTCACCTCCCTAGCGGTGGGAGGGGTTGCTGGACTTGACTCTGGCTTTGGCAGCTGCGAGGGCCTTCGCCACCTCTATCGCCATGGCTGCAGCTCTGGCTTCGGCTCGCTCTTCTTCATCTCTCAAAGCCTCTTCATAATGGGGCAGGAAGGCACTAGGGATGGTATCGTTGACTTTGGCCAAAAACTCCAGGACCTTCATTTTGCTGGTTTCAGCCTGAGCTCTTGGACCCCACAGGAACTCATAGCGTGGAGGATCACTGCCAGCTATCTGCCGATACTCCAGGTACTGCTCCTGCACCAGATCTTGGGTGATGAGCTTCCTGGGCTCTCCAAAGATGAAGTGTGTCTTGCCATCATAGACCCCCAAAATATTCAGGAACTGCCAGATTTCTGACTCGGAGGCACGGTTGCCATTCAAGAAGATCACACCCAGGAGAGGCATCAGAAGCCCGTTTTTAGGATTTTCCCAGCCACCACTAAGACCCACATCTCTGGGGAGATCTAGCTTGCTGACAATGTTATACGAGTGGCCGCTGGGCTTGACTGCTTTCAACTCAAGGCCAAAGACCAGCTCTATGCGCTCAGTGGCTTTCCGGAAGATATCAGGGAAGTGCTCCTTGTACCTTTTGTTGACAATCTTCATCATATCTCCCTTGGTCACGATCTCCTTCATTTTATACTTGTACAGGAGCAACCGCACCAACATGCCCGTCTTGGAGCTTATAGGATCATTGTGAGAGCACCAGAGAGCTGAAGCCTGGGAGGTGCTTGGCTTTTCCTTATCTGAGCTCTTAGAACTTTTACTAGCTCTTGTAGCACTGGTGGTGGCCTGGGTCTTCTGAGGCTTCTGGGGAGCACCAGAAACAGAGGAGCCCTTGGGAGCACCCCCAGAAACAGAAGAGGAGGTAGAAGGGGACTCTTCTACTTCTGCTTCAGTAGCCTGAACATCTGTGAGCTCCTGGGGGTCTCCCCGGGACTGACGGCGTTTCTCACGGGCACGGAGTTTACTTTTATGACCGCGAGGCATGACTGACGGCTGTAGGCAAGGACAGCAGGCAAGAGTGCACTAGTGGACAGGTGATGGTAGCACCTGAAGGAGGGAGAATGATAGGATGTGAGGAGCTTCAGCAGGGAGATGCCCCCTTGGCTTTAACCAAGGCTGCCTCTGCAGCTTTCCTTGCGGGCACTGCTTAGGGACCCCCAGGGCGCTTGCTCTTCCGTCAGTCTCTCCCGTCAGTATCCCATGAAGGAATACTTTGAGTGACTTTTCCTTGCACCTAACCAGCCTTGCCCTGGACTTACTGGCTGACAGCAGGTGCTGCCAGTGAGCCCCCCTGTACTGTGGCACCAGGGCTCCTCCACTCCGTTCACTTTCTGTAGTATCAAATCAGCTCTAAGCAAAGCCTGGGCACCTTGCCCTTTTCTTCTCTGAAGCTGATACCACAAAACTCGCCGGGACTCAGAAGGGACTTAACAGGTGGCCGAGTCCACCTCCCACCAAGGAACACTCAGAGCTGAGAGCTCCGTGGGGCCCTTTCTGGTTTGTTATTTACTGGGATCCTCAGTCCTCATTCAGGGTCCACACTGGGCTCCCCTTTTGCTGACTGGCAGCTACACCTTCAGACTAACGGTTTCACTTCCTTCGGACCTAAGTGAGAACCGATGGGCACTTCCACCTGCCATCTGTGCTCGAGGCCGGTAACAGGGAGGATCTTTGGTGGCCTGCACTGAGAGGGGGTAAAATACCCCCCACATTTCTCAAGGTTCAACCGTGGCGGGTCGTATCACTCAAAATCTTCCCTTGGCTGACCTCAGGCTTCCCCCTTAGCTGCTCCCTCACCGCCCCGAGATATCCCAAAATACTCGTGCGGCAACAAGCCCCAGGCTCTATATGGCCTCCTTCCGCGAGGGGACCCCATACCCCGTCCTCACTCAGCATCATCACCTTACGCCTTTTACGCAACTGGGCTTATCCATTAGACCAAGCCCCCAAATCCCCCCACCCACCGCCTGCAACAGGAGGGTGGGGGCATCAAAGCATGCTGGCTGTGCACAGGAGCCCTGCTGAGTCTGGGAGGTACTGGGGTGTAGGCCTGAACCCCGAGTCGCTAGAGAGGAAGCCAGGTCTCTGCACGACGGTTCCCATAGTACGGGTCTCCCGGGGCTTCCCGTCCGCGCTGCTGGCGTGGCGGCTCGCTGGGTGGTCTGCTCAGAGGCGCAAGGCCCGGCCCTCTTTCTGAGGACCCATTTCTCCCTCACATGGCAGGTTCAGGCTCCCCCCCAGACCTAGGCCTCCCTCGAGTTCCCCTTCCCTGTCCCACAGCAGGAGCCATTTTGGGCGGCCTGCAGCTCCGAGGGCGGGGCGGGCGGGGCCCCACAAAAGCGGGCTTGGAGCTGCCTTTGTTACGGGAGGGGGAGTGACCCCCTCGGTTTCCGCTCGCTCGGGGCCCTCACCTTGGCACACAGCACTCCTGGGAATCCAAGCTCCTCGAGACAAAAGGAGACAAAGCACCGGACCCCGATCTCCGACCTTGCGCTCAGAGCGGAAATCCGGGGGGGTCACATCCGGCCACGGCGTGAGATCACCCAGGACTGACAGCAGAGGCGGGGTTCCGTGGGCCCCGGATGTTTCGTTCTTCAGCCTCTCTTTGGTATCTGTCAGTGCGTGGAGGCCACCTTCTGCAGACTTGCCGGCCCGACTCGAGAGGCCGCGGCACATGTACACGATCATCCCACACGAACACTCCTTCCTGGGCCTCAGAGGCTGACACTGCAGGGGCGCTGGCAACCTGCTTTCCGGAAGCAGTCCCTTAGCCAGCTCTCAGTGTCCTTAATTTTTGTTAAAGCCAAGACTCTTCCCTCTGCAAAAGTGTGGCTGCCCCCATTCAGACCAAAGGCCTTTCTTCCCTGAGGCCACTCTCGGTGTCTCGGCGGCTAAGTATGAGGGTGGACATCTGACCACCTCTGTAGCGGGGTCCTCTCAAAACACACGAGCTCCTTATCTTTACTCTTGTCAAGGTCGGGTTTTCTCTTTTTTGTAGAACTGAGACTGTCCTCCTTTGTCCAAAATTCTTATCTCCATGAAACACTCCAGAGAGATTGAGGGGGGTTCCTGTACCTCAAAACTCTGTCTGGGGCATCGCAGGTGCTGACAGCATTGGAAGAATCTATGGGGCTCTTCTGTTCCGGGGTGGATGGCTCTCTCCTTCTTATTCCAAGTCCACACTTTGACACCTGACCTGTCCTGGGACTCCACTCTCTACTGACCTGAAGCTGCTCCCACCAAGTTAAGGTACTCAATTTCTAGAGCCCTCAATTTCTTGAGTCCTATCCAAAAGGCTGCTTAGCAGGGAAAACAAAGTGGTATTTCCCTATCGCTTACTATCTGGTTCAATGTAGGTGTAAATTACAGTTCTCCATTTTAAAAAAAGATTTATTTATTCATACAGAACTGGGGTACAAGCCAGAGGTGCAGGGGCAGTGAGAGTATTCACCAGAGCTTGAGTGGGGAGCGGAACAGGCATATCGACTGAAATACACTGCTGAGGGGAGCAGCGAGCGAGACAGGAGAGGTCTGCTGCAAAGTGTGGATCACCTCAGGGGCGGGGCATCTCTCACTGAAGCAGCTGTAGCTTGCTTGCAGTGCTGCATCCTAACCCACTGTGCCACCAAGGAGGGCCCCACTTCTCCATTTTAATGATACAAAGATCCTAAAATTTGTTAAGTATCAACAACCTCCCTGCCTTCCAATGGCCCTTCTACCTAAATCAAGTGCCTGATCATTGAAAGACACAGTCTCAGGGTCATGTTAAATATGGGTCACCCTTGGGCCTCCCTACTGGCATAGGGATTAAATACGCTATTGCTGCTATGGCTGGAGTTCCATCCCCAGTCAGGGAAATACCCTACATATAGCGCAACAGATTTCTCTAGTCTCACCCGCCCTCAGCAGAGTATTTTAGTAGATCTGCCTGTTTGCTTCCTACTCTGCCTCTGGTGAATCCTCTACCCCCCAGTACCTCTGGCCTATACCCCAGTTCTTCTATGTATGTATAAATTAGTCAATCAATATTAAAAAAAATATGGGTCACCCTAAATTTTTCAGCCCATCAAACTTCCAAAGGGGAAAATATACTAGAACTAGACCAGCTGTAGGGAATTAAAAAAAAAACAAAAACTAGTGAGTACAGGACAGGCATTCAGCCTCAGTTCAGAATGGGCATGTTTAGAAAACACAGGGAGAAACGTCCTTCTTATGAACTGGCTTTCCTGGTGGGGATATGGTAATATGGTAATGTAGAAGCCCTATTAGTGCCAGAAGTCACCCAAATGATACAGGATATGGCATTCTTTCAAAAGACCAGATTCTGGGCTCCTCTGGCTATTGGGATTAAAGGTATTGATATTCTTTCTGCTTTTATTGTACTGATTATTTCATAAATTAGAGCAGGACATATTCTTACAGAGGACACACATGGATCAGTCTGAGAAGGGCAAAAACAGCAAATGGAGACAGGGCTGAGAGCAATGACCCAGAGGTCCCTGAATAAGTCTAGAGGGGAACGGCTGAAAAGACACATCCATTTTCTTCCCTACTGTTCAAGTTTATTGAAAAATTGAAACAATATCCTAGGTCGAGCTGTAATACTGACCCATTTTGTGATTTTGATTAAGGTATATAGCTAACTTGTTCTGATCAAGCTACTTTTCTTAAATGCTGTATTTCAAAACACTTCAAATAACAGACAAACGAGATGGTGGCTCAAGAGAGCCAACATTTGAAAAAACAGCATATGAGCAACATATTTAGAGCTATATTTACTGCATCTCCTGGGTAATTTTAGTATTCATTAGTGTCTTCCTCTCCCAGTGGAACAAAACTCATGAATGTCATTAATATATTGTTTTAGTCATGTTCTGGCTAATTAATAAAGATATTAAATATGACCATTTCTGAAACCTGTGCCTCTGGCATATATTTTAGCAATGCCTCTTCCTTGGGATTTACTATTTAATATTTCCCTCCATTATATTTGGATATGTATATGGTTTTTAAATGTTTTAAAATTATTCACCAGGGAATTGGAATAGGGCTTTGTAACTTTAGTAAAAATCATTTCAGTTGAAAATATATCCATAAAGTAGTCACTAATATTAGGAGACAATTTCGAGTTTTATAAATATGGGCTACCATATACTACATTAGAGAGCAGAACCCCCAGAAGAAAGTCAAAACCTCTCAATCAATGATTAAGTGGATTATCAGTTGTTCCATGTGCCAGTTTTGTTTTAGAGAATCATACTTGTGTTTATTCTAATTGGTTTCCCATTTCATAAAAAAAGCCTATTCAAAATATTAATGTTCATTGTTTAAACTGATCATTGAATAGAGAGAGACAAAGCACAAAGAAAAACAATAACAACAATATAAACTCCACAGCTCAGACACAGCTGCTGTTGTCAAACTAGTTTTTAAATTTATTATTAGGCAATTTTGGAAGGCTGAAAAAAAATGTCAACTTGGCATACACAGACTACCTAGTGACAATGACAGAATCCTACCACCTAGTTAGCTCTTTTCAGTCTGCAGATGGGCAAAGAGACGCAGCCCCAAGAAAAGAATCCTGCTCTTTTAAATTATTCCTCCCTACTTTTCTTCATGCAACGACTATACACTGCTTTGATTACTGCAGGGCTTTGCTTAAGCTGTTGACAATGATTTTTCTCTTTCAAAAGAACCCTAGGGAGAAAATAGCTTAAAAATTGCTTAGGATATTCAGAGAGCAAGAATAAAGGAAAATAAAAATCCACCATCAGGATTTGAACTTCAGGCTTTGTCAGTGATTGACAAAGAACGCCTCACGCAGAACGTAATTTCTGTCCAAACTTTAGCATCCACTAAACACACAATAACCAAGTGTCCTACACATGTTATATATTTATTGGATGAGTTGATTTTGACATCTGTGACTGAAAGCTAGATGTCTAGATCAAGCGGTTGTGACCTACGGAAGTAGGGCCTTAAGT